CTAATTTTGATTAAATGTCAATTAAAAGGAATATACTAAATTAATCAATAAGATTGATTAATTGTATTTTGGATATTACTTTAGTAATTAAAGTAATTACTAAATTAATAAGTTGGAATTTAAAATTGGATTTTAAATTTCAAATCCAAAATAATAATAATATGATTATTATAAATTAGAAAATATTGAAAAAAAAGAATATAATAATAAAGATTTATTATTTTATTATTTTCATCTTTAAATATGATTTAAAGATTAAAAATAATAAAAAGATTATAATAAATGGTGGTTAAAGGTGGTTATGAACCACTTCACAATTGTTTATTATATAAAAGTCAATAGTTAGTAATCTTATTTAAATAAAATCAGATTTTATTTAAATATTACTAAATATTGATTATTTTATGCTAAAAAGTTTAGTATAAATAGATGCAAATTGTTTGCATAAATAGCTAAGTGGTTTTTAAGCTAAGTCTTGAATTTTTTCAAAGAGTTGAAAAAGAAGAAAAGTTCTTCAAATATAATTTAAGAAAGAGTTCTTAAATTATCTCCCAAAATATTATATAATTTAATATTCCTATACAAAACCGATACTTTTCTACTAGCGAAGAAAGAGGCTATCGGAACCGGAATTTGAAAGGTGGATACGTTTAGAGGGAAGACACGTGGATTCCTAAGCGAGTAACCACAAAGCGTTGCAGTTATAAAACCGGGAATCGATTCCCTCATTCATCGTCAATTTGAAGGAGTTCAAATTTAACGGTAAATATTGTATTTATTATCAAACAAATCAAAATTTGTATTATTACATGTTTTTAAAGATGACGGTCTGTGAATTCGCCATATGTATGTACGAGTTATGTATTAATTGTTAAATACATGTTTTAAAAAATTTTAAATTCCGCTGCGTATAGCTCGTACGGTACAGGCGAACCCAACATATATATATATATACATATATAATGTCCAGTTTTATTTTTATTATCGTCGCGTTGTACCGAGCCTTGATTATCCGTTAAATATCGAAACCGAGAGGAACCCAGGTCCAAATAGAATAATTTCTTGGCCCTTTTTGCCATTATTTTCCAGCCCAAATGATTAAATGGTGATTACCCAATGTCTTGTAATTATGTACGGCCCAAATTGGTAAAGACTAAATTGGCCCAACATTTTTTATCTGCATGTTTCAAAAATCTCTTGAACCGGTCGTCTCCCTCATCATCACTCTAAACTTCGGTTCCGATTTGGACGTAAGATATTTGGCATGTTCTCCTCTCTCTCTCTCTCTCTCTCGCTATATATCTTCTAGGATCAAAACCCGTTTCCCATCTTTCGAAACTCTCTCTATCTCTCTCGCATATCAGACCTGCTTCAAGAAAAAAGGGGGAAGGGGAGCTGTCGCACCAGTCCGGCGGAGCTCCTTTCGCCAGCGTCTCTTCGCGGGACTCCTACCGTCGTTGGAGCACCCAGAAGCCGTGACCTTTGTCGTTCATCACTCGGATTCCCGCATAGTCGCAACCCTTCCCTGCTCGTATATCCACTCTGCCATAGCCGAGGAGCTTGAGCCGTCGTCGACCGCCTTCGTCGAGTCGTTTGTCAAGGTGAGGTCCCGCGGCAACCAGTACGTCTATCCTTTCGCGAGCAACGGCGTATTCGAGGAGTTCAGAGCTTTCGAGGTGTCAGACCGTCCTTCCATTTGTTCTCGTCGTCTCGTCCGATTTTCCAACCAAACTCGTATATTCTCGAAGAAAGGTGTCAGTTGAACCTTCTTTTGTTTATTGCTGCGTGTTGTGATTGATCGTTGGTTAACGTTCGTTGATTCAGGATTCGTTGGATGATCTGTCTATTATTGGTGCCTTTAATCGATGTGGTCCTTTCGTGAATTTTTCGTGGATTATTGGACTCTCATTTATTGTATAAGTCGAGTCTTGTTGCAGCTATGATGAATTCATTCGAATTCGGAGTATCGATTTTATGTCTGAGTCGTCGTTTGTATATATGTGTTCGGTTGGAATAGGTCATGCCGTTTTCCATTTTCGATCCATATAAACCCGTTTTTATAAAATTTTAGAACTCTGAAAATATGTTATTATTCATAATCACTCGAATCCTGTTGCTGTTAGAGATGTCGTCGTCAAATTTGGTCGTTGATTTTCAGCCCTAGTGGTGTTTTCGCTTAACAGTTTTTGTGTATAGTCCCAGGCTCTGTATTTTTATTTCCATTCGCATGCCTCTTTTTTATGTTCAATATTATTTGTTTTCATGTAAATGGACGTCC